TTGATAAAAGGACAATGAAATCTTCAAAATACAAATTGCTGAACACTTAATCGACATTTGTGTTAGTAAACTTACATATATCATCTTCATATATTTTCGTTTCAAAACTGAATTTTCTTGTTGGTAATGTAAAAGCTTGAAGAGTTAGTACCTATGATTTGCTGTCATCTGAACCAAATTTTCTACGTCAGTTTTTGTTATCTTATTTTCAGCGTTTAATATTCTAAGTTTATAATTTGCTATTATTAAATTATTCTCGGTAGATGCAGGTAAACTTCCTGGCATTTTATGAATTATCGTTGGCTTGGAACAGTAAATTTAAATCTAAATATACATTCCTTTATATTTTTACATGACGTAAGTCATTAGAGTGAGTTGATTTCCATGACAAGAGTGCTTTAGTAAAACTGCTGATGGCCAAAGGGAATAGATCACAATAGTCACATTTAATTTATTTGGAACCCAAAACGTTTTTGAAGACACAGTTATGGCGGATAGTCTTTAATGCCCGAACAATTGTGGTCCCACTTGTACCGAATTGTTGCGCATTTTCAAATTTGGCCCCACTAGGCCGCTCAATGTAACCAATGTGTGGAATTTTTTAAAGTTATGAAATGCATATGCTACCAACGTTGCACAAATTGCACATGGTATCAATGTTGTCTTCTTTAAAGTTGTTATCTGATTCTGAAAGTGTTCCGGACACATCTTTAAACAACACGTATGTTGCACAATACTAAACAACATTAATACATATTCGTTTAACAGTTCATTATTTCCGTGTGACCCATCTCCAAAATAGTTACCTGCTTTGAGACGACAACAGTCACAGCGGTTTTGGTACAAAAACTTGTTTTTATAAGGAGGACCTTCAACAAATTCTAGGAGAAACAACAAATAAGTAGTCAATAATGCATAGTTTAAAATAAATAGTACATTTCTTATAATCTCTTCGACTATTTTTGTCAATCATTCAATTGTCCTCCTAAAAATGACATTATGTGGGTATTACTCTATCCCTTGAACTGGCGACCAAGTGCAAAAGAGGGCACATTTTGAACACAGCACAGCCGACTCCGGTTGTAGTGAACTTCTGAGGACTATAATTTTTTGTTCACTGTATCCTTTACCAGAGATACACTATATCTATAATGTCAAAATTAAATACATTTTCTCCACAAGAATTACTTTTGTTAACATGGAGATATTGCAAAATACATTAATAGCAAGAACTGAAAATTTCAATATCTTTATTTTACCTTAAAAAAATATTTTTAATTGTTTGCTGCGTACATTTTTCATTAGCAATTTCTCTAGATTATTTTCCAGAGTTCGGGCTCTTTTCGTTCTGCACTGATCCTACTTGATTATGCTTTGTCTACTATCATTATAAGTATCGTATAGCAGACATTGCAGTAGTGGCTGGTCAACATCACCACGATCAGAGGTTTGAATTTTGTTTGTTTGAGACGTATTCTTATTTAACGCACTTAGCACTCTGTCAGTGCTTTTTAATAAATTAATCAAAAGTGAATTTCTTGGTTCGTATCTCTGACACATATTAGCTTGTGGAATCCCATGTTGAATGTCGCTTTTGACGACGCCCTTATCTTGCAAAGTAAACAACTTACGCCATTACTGCTGAAGACTACCTGCCACATATGTAGAATACCCCGCTCTTAATCGCGTGTAATCTCAAGTAACATCAAGTTTGAAACTGAAGCAAACAGTCGCGCGTCGCTGCCACCGATTGTAACCCACGTAGGACACGGCCTTTGTTTCCGCAGTTAAATTGAGAGGTTCAAGGTCATCATTAAAGTCTTATTTTCGTGTTCGCTACCTCCACCTCAAGGGACACTTCTTCGACGATGACCTTTGGCTGATATTTTTCCAAGTAGCCTAATGTTGGAATCTGTGGCGTAATCTGAGACGTAATATTTTTTCCAGGAAGGAAATAATCTCCAGGTCTTCGCATTTTCAAGATTCACTGTAGCCGAAAATCTGAGTTCACTGTAACCGAATATTTTAGTGTTTATTTGTAATGCAAGCGAAACGGGACTAGTGACTTAAGTTCACTATAACCAAGAGTTCACTTTATCTGTGTTCACAATAACCGGAGTCGACTCTATGTATTTAGAAGTAAACATCTCATACAGGCCACAAACCAGCCGGATTATGTCTTATGAAGTAAACGGCTCTACTAAGATTAAACCGTTCTCCTACAAAATTAGAATTTTAGATGGTGTTACTTTTCGTGCGCACTGAGTTTCTAATAAAATGAGACTGTACAAAACTTTAAATATTTTCTTCTTCCATGCCATTCAGACCCGGTATCTAGAGACTTCTAGCGGCTGTATCATGTCGTAAGTTCACCGAGAGACTACACGTTTGCCAATAGGAGTGAGAGAGTGTACTATCGCTGAAACAATGTCCCAATGTCTTAAGATTCTTTTCTTGAATATTGCGGTATGTAATTGTTCGAAACTGATATGACTCGTTTCCATAACGTTTGTGGTTTTTTTGTAGGTAAGGTGTTAATTTTGTAAGTTAGATAATTAAATAAAGAAATAAAACACTTTCATAGAGAATTGTGAAAGTATTTTTTTGTTTAAGATTTAGAATATTGCAAAGTATTTTGACAACTGAAATATACAAATAGGTGTGTTCAAATTCAAAAACTATTTAAAATGAACTATATGGACTAGTTTTTTAATCAAACAAAACCTAGAGAAGTTGAATAGTGAATACTTTACCTTAATGATATAATTCTATTCCCCAATATTCAATTATAAGGACGAGAAAAACTAATTGTGCATAAAAATTTACATTAATTACAAAATACTAGTTATTTATAAATTAACAATTCAGTTTTCTTAGATTATACAGATATCAACCTCTGGATCTCTCAAATGGGTTCGATCATTAAAGGCAAGATATATGATCAAACCCAAACATTATCATATTTGTCTTGTTATGTAATATTAATAGTGACATAATTATTTATATTGGTTTACTACAGAAAATGAATCCATGAAAGACTGTAATTCTCAAGTTTCTCAACATTCCATTGTTATTTGCCAAATGATTTGCCTATTGTTCGTATGTAATAGATTGCAAATAAAAATATATAACATTTACAAAAACGATTATTATATCAGTCTCTGTGAATACTATACTTTTAGCTTCTGTTAAACGGCCAAAACATTATTGTGAGTTAATAACGTCTCCTCGATCGCTATAATTGTTTGCTGGGATGTTCTGTTATGTATGTTTTCATTTTACTGCTAGTTCTACCTTCTTTAAATTGTACAAGATGTATCATACAAATGTGAGTACCTACAAACTTTGTTACTTTGTTGCATGATCTGCATTTACACTTTTTAATAATAGTAGAAACAAAGAAAGTAAGTCAAATTACTAAACCTTAATGAAAAAGCTGAGAGGTCAAGACTGAAATTACTAACTATGACAGCTGAGATATTTCCAATCTGTTCCATTTCAACAATATCCAAAATATGCAAATATTCATATTTTTTAATTATATAGGATTAATTTTATGGAATTTTTTTAAAAGTAGTATTATTGCGCACGAGCCTGGGAAAACAAAATTACATTATTTTAAATTCTCTTTTGAGAGGAAAAAAGTATGTGAAATCACCTGAATGATGTGGAGTAAACATGAACTTAGTGGCGCAACAAAAATAATTTAAATTTTTTTAGATTTTTATATAGCCTACGCATACATTTCATACTGGCGTTCTTAAAATGGACGGTGCTTGACATATGTTTGAAAGAATTGCCGAAAGCAGACGATGAAAAGTTTCATTACTATAAAGGAAAATATAATATACTCTTGTTTGAATGAGAATGTGACGTAGCTATAACACTGATGTTCTTTTGTGTCCTGTGTTTTCCAAAATTCCGGAGCTCATAAACCTCGCGTATTATTAAACTTTTTTAATTTTAGGATTGGAATATTAGAACTTTGTAGTCCTAACAAGGGAATGTGAGGTACGCGGTATATAAATTGCTGCAATCTTCCAGTCATTACAACATTGTTATGGGAAAAACCAGGACATCAAATTAAATGTTGAAACACATGACTTTGAACAGTTGACTAAATATATGAAAGAACTAACTTAGTGTGTCGTATCCTCCTGAATTTTATTTGGGCCTCGGAAGTGAATATTTAAAAAAGAATTTTAATCATAAAGTTGTTGTGGCTTTTGCGGTCTGAGCATAGAAATTGACATGAATTTTCGAGGCAAGTCCTTTTTGCCAAATTTTGCGTCTCATTGCAACAAAACGTCTCATTGCAAAATTTTGTTTAAGCATCATTAATCGAATTAACCAAGTCATAACGATTCACGTTATGTCACAATTGCAATACACTAGTTCTCAGAAATTTAGCACATTTTTATTTCATTTATTTTAAATCGCTGTGAAACTGAATCGTCATAAGTGATCCCTTTTACATTACGTTATATTACAATTTAAGTTTTGATTTCATAATATTTCTTAACATTGCCTTTTAACAGTTTTAAAATACTGACCAATAAATG